ATGAAGGTAGCATTAAATCGAATCTGGTACGCATTTTTCGTCCCAATAATAATTTAGACGGTGTCTCCCCGGTTGTACTGTGTGGAGTATTTCTGTAGTAGAATGAAAAGCAATTTATGATATGAGTGATACTTCTTTCATTATCTTTTTCTTTACCTTCAATTGAGGCTTTTTTTATTATTTCAACTTCTGATTCTGCTAACCTATTTGCGGCAGGGTGATATGGGGCTCCTGTAGTATGCGTGATACCTTGTTTTTTTTTAATTGAAATTCATCCGACAAAAATTATTGAGCATTATCGGTACAGAATTCCCTGGGTAGCCCAAATCTTCCGAAAATACTAGTGGTGGTTTTGGAAGACATATTATCTATTTGAAAACATTCGATCCACTTGGAAGTGGCGTCCTCCAAAACTGAAAAGTAACTGTTAAAGATTGGAGCAAAATAATCTACGTGCAATCTTGTCCACACTTCTTTGGGCCAATTCCAAGGCTTCGGGGATATTTTCGGGGGATTATTAGAAAATTTTGCACAAATTTTACAAGTCCTTGCAATTCTTTAATGTTTGCGTCCATTGACGGCCACTATACAGAGGACCTTGCTAGTGCTTTCATTTTTACTATACCTACGTGACCCGAGTGAATTTGTTATTGTTAATTCTTTATTTCGGAGAAATAATGGTTGAAGTTCTTTTAAAACAATTTTCGGCCACCCATTTCGTATATAAAACATAACTTCACACAAAATCGGATCTACTCTAGATTCTTGTCTAATTTGAGGAAAGTTCGACGGGAAATTCTCCTTTTCTAGTAAATGAAAGTAGGACATAGAATCAAATGTCTTGTTATAGTGAATTGATGCACCAAAACCATTATTTTGCCTATCTATTTTTATGCGTGAAAGATAATCTGCTGTATTCTTATTCGATGGAATAATTTAATTTCATAATCAAAAGCTGATAATATGTGAGCCCAACGCTGTAGGTGGTTTGCAGAGATAACAGGCAAACTCTTATTTTCTCCAAAAATAGTAAGTAACGGTTTATGATCACAGTAAAGAAAAAATTTTCTCCCATACAAATACTGAAAAAAAATGTTTTACACCGAATATTATAGCCAGTCCCTCCTTTTCTATTCGTGAATATTTTATCTCGGCTGATGTCAACATCCGTGATGCAAATGCAATAGGTCGTTCAACATTGTCGTTATAAATATGACTGATCATTGCACCAATTGCGAAATTAGAAGAATCCACCGTTGATTTCGAAAGTCTATTCGGATCATAGTGAGCTAAAATCGTTTTTGACAATAACATGTTTTTTTATTCTTTCAAACCGATTTTGGCTCTCTGTGGTCCATTGCCACTCAACTCCTTTTTTTAATAAACAGTATAAAGGCTGCAAAATTATTGATGCATTTTGTACAAATTTACAATAATAGTTTGCCATACCTTGAAACGATTTCAACTCATTAATATTTCGTGGTTGAGGACATTGTTTTATTGCATAAACCCTATCTTCCGATTTATGGAGACCACTTTTATTAATTTTGTGACCCATATATATAACCGAATCTTGAAAGGAAGCACATTTTTCTTTACGGACTTTCAAGCCACACTCTTGGAGACGTTCTAAAACTAACTCTAATCTCTCGTAATGCTCTTTATTGTCATATATACAGTAAGTACGGTCCTGTTCATGATATCGATGGTATGCGTTTTTCTGTACTTGATGTTTTGCATTACTCTATTGAAGGCAAAAATAAAGACAGTTTATGATCAATGGCGTTTCAATAAACATGGCGCTGCGAACGAACCATTGTTATTGAATATTCCTTTTGGAAAGTCAAAGTAAAGTTTTAAAGATAGAAAATGGCAGAGTCGAGAGGAATTGCTCCGTTGGACGTAACATGTGGCAATGTAGCGGATAAATGGAAATTTTGGATTCAAAAATTCAACAATTACTTGAAAGCTAATGAAATCGACAAGAAAGAAGAAGATGTACAATGTGCACAGTTTTTACAGTATATTGGTGATGAGGGCATTCGTATATTCAATACATTCAAATTTAAAAAAGAAGAACAGAACAGGATTAAGCCCTTGATACGCGAATTTGACAATTTCTTTCAACCACAAACGAATCTAGTGTATGAAAGACATAAGTTTTTCACAAGGAGGCAGATGGAAGGTGAAAGTTTACAACAGTTCATAACAGACTTGAAAAACAAAGCGAAAAGTTGTGCTTTCAGTGATTTGGAAGAGTCACTGGTTTGCAGTATGCTTATCATTGGCCTCTTAAGTGATCAACTAAGAGAAAGATTATTGGAAAATAGTGATATGACTT